TTAGAGTCCACAAACGTCATATCAAGACTCAATATACATTATTTGGAACTTATACCTACTTAAAAAGTTAAGCTTATAAATGGAGAGTACATATAATATTAAGACTTATCTCTTTTACTATTTATCCGATATGAGACTCTACCTTCACACATGCTTCAACGATCTCTCCCTCATGTGTGAACCAAATATTAAGCCCCATCTTACTCCTCCTCAACATTAGGCCTCACCTTACTTCCCCCTCAAGTCTGATATATCATCAACAAGTTTATTATCATAGATCATAAGCATTCCCTTTAGTCTTGATCTATAACTCTCCAATATCGAGTCTAACTTGGGCTACCTGCAACACTCCATCGTGAGCCACCAATCTCCGTTGAGAGCCACCTGGTCACGGTCCAACCCTGCCATGTGTCATGGATTTTTCTTGCTCTATCAAGAGTTGTCATGGATTTTTCTTGCTTCATTGAGAGGCCCTGTGCAAACCTAAGGCCAACAACTTCAATGCTTCAGGAGAGCATATATGGGACTCTACCTTCATACATACTCTAACAATCTCCCCCTCATGTGTGAACCAAACATTGGGCCTCACCTTGCTTTGCTTTAAGTTTGATCTATCATCAATAGGTTTATTATCATAGATCATAAGTACTCCATTTAATCTTGATTTGCAACTCTCCAACATCGAGTCTAACTTGGGTCACCCGCACACACTCCATCATGAGCCACCAATCTCCATATCGAGCCACTTGGTCATGGTCCAACCTTGCCACGTGCACCAAGAATTTTCCTTGCTCCATCAAAAGTTGTCATGGATTTTTCTTGCTCCATTGAGAGGCCCTGTGCAAACCCAACAACCTCAATGTTTTAGGACAGCCGAGGTGGGACTCTACCTTCACACATACTCCAACAATCTCTCCCTCATGTGTGAACCAAACATTGGGCCTCACCTTACTTCCCCTCAACATTGGGCCTCACCTTGCTCCTCTTCAAGTTTGATCTATCATCAACAGGTTTATTATCATAGATCATAAGCACTCCCTTTAATCTTGATTTATAACTCTCCAACATCGAGTCTAACTTGGGTCACCCACACACACTCCATCGTGAGCCACCAATCTCCATTGAGAGCCACCTTGTCGCAGTCTAACCTTGCCACGTGCATCAGGAATTTTCTTTGTTCCGTCAAGAGTTATCATGAATTTTTCTTACTCCATAGAGAGGCTCTGGGCAAACCCAAGGCCAATAACCTCAATGCTTTGGGAGAGCCGATGTGGGACTCTACCTTCACATATGCTCCAACAATCTCGCCCTCATGTGTGAACAAAACATTAGGCTTCACATTACTCCCCCTCAACATTGGACCTCTTTGTGCTCCCCCTCAAGTCTGATCTATCATTAACAAGTTTATTATCATGGATCATAAGCACTTCCTTTAATCTTGATCTATAACTCTCTAACATTGAGTCTAACTTAGGCCACCTGCACACACTCCATCGTGAGCCACCATCATGGTCCAACCTTGCCATGTCTATTAGGAATTTTCTTTGCTCCATCAAGAGCTGCCATTGATTTTTTTTGCTCCATTGAGAGCCTCCGTACAAACCCAAGGTCAACAACCTTAATGCTTCAGGAGAGCCTGCCTATAGATCGCTAGCCATTGGTTCTGATATTAGTTGTTAGGGAATTAGGGAGCTCACATGTGCACAGCAATACTAGCCCAATCCATTAACGAGAAACTTTAGAGTCCACAAACGTCATATCAAGACTCAACATCTATTATTTGGAACTCATACCCACTTAGAAGCTTAAGGCTATAAGTGGAAAGCTCATCTAATGCATATTAAGACTCATCTTTTTTACTCTTTATCCGATGTGAGACTTTACCTTCACACATGATCCAATACACACTAGAGCCATACAATATGAATTGTGATATTGTCCATTGCATATTTGTAATGGAGAGACCCAATTATATCATCCAAGAATAGGTAATGACATTTACTTAATTTAATATACACTGCAAGAAAATTAGCTTTTACCAGTGTTTCAAAAATGTTGCTAAAGCTATCAAAAACATTGGCAAAACATATACTAACGTTTTAAAATTACGTCGAGAATGCGACTGTCGCTATAACTTAGCGACGTTTTATAAACGCCGTACAAGATCTTTTGCAGCGTTTGTTTAAACGCCAGCATAGAAGTTGCCCCTACCCACAAATGATGTCATACTAACTTATAATGGTGTTTTTGTTAAAACATTGCTAAAAGCTTTTTTTTTTCAAAATAAAAAAAATATATATCTAAACCTAATCAGAATTTTTTCCAAATATGAATTCCTTCCTCAAAAACAAAACTATATATTAGCAAAATAAGGATTCAATTGTCAAAAATAATCAGCACATAAACTAAAAATAAGCCAAACAAGTTTAATTCTTCTTCCAGATGGCTACAATTTTACATTTGACAGACAATAGAAGAAAAATTGTAACATTTCCTACCTGTTTATATTTAACCACAAACCATACCCCATAAAAAATGTTAATACATACATACATACCAACATGACATTAAAATACAGGACTTTCAAATAAAAACCAATCAAATGAATCAACTTAGCCCATAACTTGAATTATGGCTAAAAAACAAATATCAAAGATAATGAATCAAGATTAGAACATCAGCACCACTAACAGAATGTAAAGAGCTTCTTGAATAAGCTTCTCCGTCAAAGATTTTGGAAGTCCCTTAACAAAATCAATTGTCCCTACCTGCAGGAGAAAAGCAATAGATGGCCCATGTTGTGAGAAATCAACCCATCAAATGATGCAAATAACCAACTCACAATCAAATTTGATGAGAGGAATTCTCAATCATGTACATAATTACTCGGATACAAATCGAATGTGAGGAATAACAAATTGGATGACAAGCTTACCATGGTGTCAACAAAGGGCAATGTCAAAGGATGTTCAAGCATCAAACCTCCAGCAACATTGAGCATAATTCCTTCCTCAACCTGAACATAACTCGCCGCATAGAGTAGGCATATTATATAAAAAAATTACAAATAAAATCCATATTGTTTGTCTATTTTTACCAGGCTATCAATGACCTCATTTGGTATGTCATGGAAATAAACTTGCACCAAACACCAATAACAACTAATTTTCCAAAGTCAATGTAACTTAAAAGGTAGAAATATTATGTTTCCAAATTCTTGAAAGTAATGCAAAACAAGAAAATTTACTGTTACATTGACTGGGTACATGTGTGGGGTGTTGGTATATATGTACAAGAGTGAGCTACAACCAATATAACCTTGAGTTGTTTATAGTTAGAGAAAAATGAAACATGTAAGCAGTTTCTTTTTATAATTTTATTCATTCTTCTTCATTTATTATTATTATTATTTTAAATTGTTGTTGAACCATTTATTTGTTTTGCAATTGTTTCACAATCTCTAACTGTCAAATATGCATGCCACAGCCAAAGGTATTCATATAAGACAGATTTTATGGGGCAAGCTGGTATAAATGCTGTATTTGAGAGACTTTTTAATCAAAGACTTTTCATCAATAATTTGGAAGAAGAGAGATTTTATAAATCAGCAAACAATGAATTGTATATAAAGTGAATTCTTCCTGAAATCTAGCAAATGGCTCCCTTGTGGGTTGGGGGCTCTTGTCTTTACCATATTTTTAAGTGATGGTGATGGTGATGGTTGTGGTTTGATGGCAAATGGTTGAGATTTACCCCCCCCCAAAAAAAAAAAAAAAACAAGTATGAACAACAAATAGGCTCAATAACCATCACTAGTTGTAGACACAATAACAACAATGAATATGTTTGACTTTGACTCTTTAGCTGTAACACCAGCATATTCAAGTTTCTGTTATAAAAATTTCTGATCATATCTTGGATGGAACATATTAAAGAAAGACTTAAGTTAAACAAAAAAAAAAAACATTTAGACAAGTTTTATGTTAAACATTTAGGCTCAATAACCTAGAGTTTTTTTTTTTTCTTGAGGACAGCAAACACATGCAGCTATGCAAAACATACTGCAAAACATACCTTTCAGACCAATTTCTCTTTCAAAGTCTGGTGGAGTCAACATGTCATAGCCAATAATTGATGAGCTGAAGCCTGGGGCATACTCATCGATCAAGGTAAAACATCTTTGTGCAAAGGACTTCTACAGAAATGTTCATCTGTTAACTGTCTAATGATTTGTAATCAAACAGAAAAAGTGTGTTGCCTATAGAGATAAAGAAGGAAATTGAGCTTGCTTTTGCTCACTGTTGTTAACGATCCAAATCCAACACTGCTTGCTTATCCTATATGTGATCAAAGACATTAACACCACACTCAAAACCCTAGATAAATCGATTCGAAAAGAGAAAATACAAAATAGAAGAAAAGAAACTAGAAATTAACTATAAATCGTTAATTTAAGCCATCGAAGTCTACAGATCTTGTTTGAATGTAGCAAATCCATCTCAAAAAACTCTAACCTTGAGCCCTGGATCGATTTAGATAAGAGGGATTCAAACGATATTATAGACAAACGCTCAAATCAAGTGTAGAACAAGAATTTCCAGATCATACAACCAAAGAATCGATGGAGATTAAAGATCCAAGGCCTTGATTTCTCTCTCTACCTCTATCTCTCTCTCAAAAGTCACGCTCTGTTCTCTAAATTATCCGAGAAGTCCTACCTTTTCAATCACAAATAAATGTATTTCACAATTTTTTAATAACTGTGTACAAAACGAGATGGGTAATTAAATTTGCTCAAAAAGAGAAAATTATATGAGATTTCACGACGTTTTTCAAAAAACGTCAAAAAAAAAGAAGTGGTAATATCCTATTTTTCTTGTAGTGATAATTATAAATTTGCAGTGGATATGGAAAGCTTGTCGCTAAATAGAGGACGCCACGCCAACTAATTGTGTACACAATATTTTTTCCTATTTTAATATGACCAGGAAGAAGATGTTTTATTGAAGAAATTTCCCATCAATTGATCCTTCAACACCTTCTGTCTTCAACATTTGAAGCAAAAGCTCATTCCATGTATCAATGGGTCCTGGCAAGCACCAATGCAGACAATCAGCAGAACGTTTCTTCTTCTTTGGTGGGTGACCATAATGGTTTGGGTGACCATCTGGTCTCAGCCTCATAGTTTCTGTGATATCCAACAACCTAAATTTCAACCCCCTTTCCTTCCCTTCCCTTTTCGCTGCCCAAAACTCATCCATTTGAATCTTGTAAAACATTGAAAGATACCAATCAAACTTCATTTCTTGCTTAGTAAATGGCCTCTTCCTCACGCAATTCCCTCTTCCTTCCCATTCCTCAGTCTCAAAGTGTGTTGGCGTGATTGTCCTCAAAAAAATTATCCCTTTAAAGTTCTGAAGATCCAGAAATGTCCTAAATGCAGTTTGGAAGGCCTTCCTGAATCCATAGTACCTCGTAAGGTCTGTCATGTTCTTTTTACTGCACATGTTGCACCCAACATCCTTATACTTTTCATGGTACATTATTGGCCTAGAGAACCAATGTCCAGTTGATATGATCACGTAGTCGAGATTTTCAACCTTTGTTGCCCAAGTCTCATCAGCCTCGTCTAAATACAGATCTATGGGGTTCATGGAGAAAGCATCAACACCATGGGCTTTAACCAGATGAGTGGTCAATAAAAGTTCTAATGTGAAATTGTAGTCAGTATAAACCCAGCGTCTAAATGTTGTATCGTTTGTACCCGATTCATCTACAGGGCGAGCAACCTGATAGAGAAATAATAACAAAGGTTAGATTTGTCTCCAGCCTTTTTTTTTTTTTTTTGTCAGTACTCGAGCAACCTGACGTATCATTTGGCTAAGACTTACAGCGAAATGAGATGAAATGGTGTACTAGTCTACAGCAGATTTGGAGTAAGTGGATAACTTACACTAGTCAATAGGCAAAGCAGTGACTGCGCTTGATTTCTTGCGACAGAGTCCCCAACAAGCAGATTTGGAGTAAGTGGATAACTTACACTAGTCAATAGGCAAAGCAGTGACTGCGCTTGATTTCTTGCGACAGAGTCCCCAACAAAGGCCATGGACTTCCCTCTGACAATCTCCAAGAATTGAGCAGCATCGAAGACTGGTAGCTCACATCCATCTGGTTTCCACCTCCACTTCATGAACTCTGTGTCTGGTCTTCCAAACTTGAGGCAGTTTTCTCCATCATCAATCAGACATCCACTTTTGTTTGTGTACAGAGGCCCTTGTGGATATGGAACCCATTTCCCACTAAATATGTTACTACATTCTTTCTCTAACCTATTAACTCTACTCTCGGACTCCCTGGGATTAACTTTAACTTCATCATTGTTTTCTTCATAGAGAGGGACTGAAACATCAACATTACCATTAAGCTCTTGAGACTGCGGTAAAAATGGCAAATTGCCTCGCAGATGATCAACGGGGAGGATTAAGATGGCGACAACTAAGACTAGGATGATCAGTAGGATTGTCTTCTTGTAGTGCTTGAGTGGTGAGTTGTACCCACTTGGAATATTTGACAGGTTGGCCCTCATTTGAGGAAACTCTGAAACAAGAAACTATGCATTTGGGGTTACATATACATACATATATATGCTCAGTTACAAAAGAATTTGTATTGTCTGTGTTGTATTCTGATTTTAAAATGACATACATATTGGTGCAGAAGTTTGGCCTAAGGATTTACATTCTAAGCTGTATCCTAATTAATATGCTAGATACTTATTGCAGTTCTATAACCTCTCTGATGTAATTGTAATTGTTTCATATTTTCCCATCCGTTTGTAACCATGGTTCAAGCATTTAACACTTCATAACAGTCATGCAAATTTTTGGTCAGAGTCGATATGCTAATTTTATGTTTTTCTATTATTATTTTATATATATATATATATATATATATTTCTGGCTTTTCTTGGTATTCACTTATCATAGGCTTACCTTCATCGCTATTATGATTTAAATATAGGTAAATAGCTCTCATATGATTTTGACCAAAGTACAATCGTTAACTCGGTTAACTATACAGATATAAAACGACTATTATACCTTTAAATCTTATATATTATTTTATTATTTTCTTTCAATTTTCTCTCATATACATAATTTTTAATTTTTAACATCAACTCAGTTAAATCATACTTAATCATAAATTCTTAATTATTTATTGTAATTCCTAACTTTTTTAATCTAATTTTAATATAAATATATTTTAGATCAGAATTAATCCTAAATCTTTAATTATTTATTGTAATTTCTAATATCTTGCTCTAATTTTAGTTTAATTATTTTTTAGATCAATTCTTAATGATTATTTATTTTATACTGTTATTTAATTATACTTTAAATCTTATTAATTTTATACTTTTATTTAATTATACTTTAAATCAATTCTTAATTATATTTTAGATCAATCCTTAATTATATTTTAATTTAATTTAATTTTAATTAAGAGTTTAATCTAATTTTAATTTTGGATAAGATGAGGGTAAAATTATTTTTTGTTATGTGAATTTGACTTTATTTTTTCAAACAACCAAGTTCACTTTAAGTGCGTGTGATATACACCTTTCCTTAGTTTGGATGAAAAAATTAACGGTGACACTTTAATCCAAAATCATATGAGACTTTCTGGCTATATTTAAACCACATAGGAATAAAGTGCTACACCGTCAAACTAATAAAGTAAAATAAATTTTTCATTTTATTTTTATAACATTTAGGCCATGTTTGTTTGGGCGGATTGAATTAGTATTCCCATGACTAATAGTCCTAGGACTACGAGTCCGTTGGATTATGTATCTTATCTTACCTAATAGTCAAGTTTAAAATAATTAGTCTGTACTTCAATTGTTTAACCAAATATCAGATTAATAATTTTATTGGACTATTAGTCCAATCCCAAACTCATGTCCACCCAAACAAACATGGCCTTATGGTATTATTGGCAAGATCATTGAAAACTGAATCAGAAAACTTGGGTTTAATGTAAATGCATTTTATGCTAACTGATGTCCACATATTAGCGAGTTTAATCTTGTAGGACTGTTACAAATTCTTACATCAACTGGTTAATTTAGGGGAATTCTCTTTAGGAAAATACTATGGATCTAAATAAATTATCAATTTTTTTATCAAATCTCTTATATGGATGTGGGACCTATACAAATTACATGTGTAGGTCCCAACCCACATGAAAAATTTAGTTAAAAAAATTAATAATTTATTTGAGGTCTCTAACATAATTCTTCTCTTTAATTCAGAATGATATGAAAAAGCCAGCTCTGCAGGTGTTTTTTGACATCATGACCATGATGTGGTGACGAGTATTATCCACCCAACATTGTGACAATTGTTCAAGTTACAAAATCAATGTCTCCGCCCAAAAAAATAAATAGATTGTGTACCTCCTAGACCCAGAGCACTCTATAGTATGACCTTTAATCTTGGTAGATATTTTGTTACAAAGTGAAAAGGACAAAATTCAGATATATCAAATGTATAATTTTTTTTTTTTTTTGTATAATATTTCTATGTTGTGAAATGTCTATGAAACTATCACATAAGACGGTTTTGTGCATTGTTGTGAAAGTAACACTAAGTTGGAAAGATGTTTGACAAATTACAAGACTATTAATAGGTGTCAATGTTGGAACAATTCATCTTGAATTCTTTAATTAGTGTTCTTCGGGTCTTCAAAATTTGACAATGAACTTGTCCATGTAGAACAGAAAAATGATGCTTCAAGTCGCATTACTTAGTTGCATTACTTAGTTGCATTCCTAAAGACAATATTTGCACCCACCAAAAGGTGTGCATGGGGTTACAGCAAATTTGTCTCTAGGATACAATGAAATCTGATCTAAAGATCAAGTCTATCGGCGTCTACACTGATGATAGTAGATCAAAATACTCTTGATATAATCAAGAAAATCATGACACTGATAATCAAATCTGCAGAACTCGATTGCTAGTAAGAAAAGAAGAAATTTGCTTAAGAAACTCTTAATTGAAAACTCAAAATCAAGAGGGAGAGAGAGAGAGAGAGTATAGCAAGAATGCTTTTGAATGTTTTGGATGGAATGAAATGGCTGATTTCGCAGCCTATTTATAGGCCTTGATGCACTGATCAAATGGTCATGTCCCTTGATCACATTCGACCGTTGGATCGACGATCGACGGTGCAGATCATTCTCACACCGGATAGACGCCTTAACTAAGCACACCTATTCACGATCGGGTGTCATCTCATCCGTATGATCGCGCGCCCCCCCAATCAACAGCTATGATCAACCTGCTCCAGATCGGACACACAACCGTTTGATTAGTTGGTTGACTCATCGCCAACAGACAACACGTCACTGCTACGTGGAGCTGACTGTATTCCACATCATCTCTCCAACCTGTCCGATGCAAATAGGAAAACGCCCTCACGGTGCCTTGCACTGACGCATCCGTGCTAAATGCAAAGTGCGCCATCAAACGCCACACAGCTCACTGCCTACGCCATGCGTGTACATGTGCGTGTGCGGATGGTACGAAGCACCATCCTTGCGGTGTGGGTGCATGCACACTAGCTTTCACCTCATAATTCCATATTCAAAGAAATATTCCATATAGCACTTTATTAAGTGCTCCATGTTTTCTTCTCTTTCCGATGTGGGACAAAAGCCCTAAACTTATTTCATGCTATCCAAAGAAAAACATGAAAGGTTTTCAAAACACCCAAAAATAAACTATAAATTTGAAAACCTATTTTAAAAATTTCCCGACATTCCCCCACCATTTTCAAAATATCAGATGATGATACTTGGTTCACTTGGCAGCCTTATGTATAGGTGAAGATATCTTACGATTTGAATCATTCACTTAATGAAGACGTCTCAAAGTTGGTCAAGATGGCATAGTAGACTTGTCTTTGAACTAACGATCATATACGACTAATCGGACATGTCTCACGCACAGTACAGTTTACGTCAAGTATTCACACAATCTGACACGTGGATTGGCCTTGTGTCTATATCCTGTTTCATGAGCGCTCTAGAGTCATGCCCTTGGACTCATAGGAAGCGGCACCACCTCCTACACTCACATAGGTAAGCTTACTAAGCGTACCTCTGTAATTTACAATACCGTAACAACTCAGTTGTAAACTTATTAAGAGTTTGCTAACTCATCCTCTTTTTTTCACATTACAGGTACCAAGCACTTCAACCTTAGGATGCAATGAAATAAAACTAAGTGCTTGCAATCACTACATATAGTGTACTTGGGCTCATTGAACTTAAGACTTGATGTTTCAAGCGTTGAGTCGAGTTTTCACCAGGAGTAATTATGTTAAGTGGGCTTAAGACCCATCCCCTTTGATGTTTTCCACACCAAATCCCTTGCAAGTCCCTTTGTTAAGGGGTCAGCCAAGTTTTCACTTGACTTTACATAACTAATGGTAATCATACCTTCTGTGATTACTGCCTAACACAGCTATGTCTCAGTCCTATATGCCTGGACTTTCCATTATAGACATGACTATAAGCCCGTGATAGAGTTGCTTCACTATCATAATGCAAAGATATTGGTGGCATAGGTTTTGGCTATATCTTAATCTCTAACAAGAGATTCCTTAACCACTCTGCCTCTTTACTACAAGAAGCCAATGTTACAAACTCTAATGCTATGGTTGAGTCTGTTATGCATGTTTGCTTCTTAAAACCCCAGGAGATAGCTCCTCCTCCAAGAGTAAAAATCCAACCACTCGTGGACGAGTGATCTTTCACGGTCAGTTATCCAACTAGCATTCGTGAATCCTTCTAGCACTGCTAGATAGCCATTATAGACTATTCCATAGTTTATTGTTTTTCTCAAGTACCTAAGTACTCGGTTAACAGCATGCCAATACACACTACTGGGATTGCTAGTGTATCTACTAAGTTTTCCACTGTAAATGCAATATCAGGTCTAGTGCAAGTCATGGCATACATCAGGCTACCTATCACTCTTGAATATTCTAGCTGATCAACAGCTCTTCCAATATTAGGATAGAATTTCAATTTTGAATCAAACGGTGTGTACAATTATATTGATTAAATTTCTTAAGAATTTTCTCGATATAGTGCGACTGGGTAAAAATCAAATTATTGTCCTTTCATTTGATCTTAATACCCAAGCCCATGTCTTTCATACTAAAACTAGACAATAAAAAACTTTTAGTACTTTTAGTGACATCATTGTAAATACCAAAAATAAGCATGTCGTCTACATATAGGCATATGATTACACCTCTATTGCCAGTAAACTTACTATACACACACTTATCAGATTCATGTATCCTAAAACCATTTGATACTATTACTTTGTCAAATTTCTCATGCCACTATTTTGGAGCTTGTTTCACTCCATATAGTGACTTCACGAGTTTACACACTTTGTGTTCTTGACCCTGTGCAACAAATCCTTCCAGTTATTGCATGTAGATTTCTTCATCTAACTCTCCATTTAGGAAAGCGGTCTTAACATCCATTTGATGGATTTCAAGCTT